GGGATTCCTCCCAGCTCTATTGGAGAGGAATCTCCTCCCTGCAAATCATAGACACCATTTCCTAAATTCTGTTGAGAGTTCATCAGACCCCCCTAGTGGAAGAATGGACTGCTCCCAAGTCCTCCCTGTCCCCAGAAGATGGTTTGTAGGAAAGAAGAGTAAAGGGGGCACTGGAGTTTCTATTTGCTTTTCCCTTCAGAAACCATGCACGCATGTCAAAGCTTTTCCTTCTTCCTTCTCCGGAGACCCCCTCTTCACCTCTCCAGGCCCTTTGTGGACTTCTTGCCCTGCAACTCCTGTGGTCACCTGTAGTCCAGATCACAAAAGTATCACTTAATAATGAAAAGAAAAGAGGAATGTCCATACTTTTTTGAATGAAACGTCACTGGAGCAAATGTTTCTTCATTGCGTGATACCACTTACTGCAGTGGTTCCCAAACTTCTCTGCACTTCCGGAGTCACTGGGGAGCTACAAAGAGCTACTTATCCCTCTGCCTTGCCCCAGAAGTCATGATCTGATGGGCACAGAGCTTGGCCTGGGCTTTGGAATTTAATAACCACCCTCCTGAGGGACTCTAATGTGCAGACAAATTTGGCAGTCCCTCACCTCATCTTAGAACCTCTGACATATGGACTAAAATCAGCCCCTCCCTACAGACCAAGAGCCAGAGGTTGAGCAAACTTGAGGCTCTTCCCCAGGCTCAGTTCACCTTCAGGAGAGGGCTGGACTCTGCAGTCAGCTTTTGTTGCCTGAATCCTTGCAACTCAGTCTGTGGTCCGCACGCAGGCCAGCAGCATCACCTGGGAGCCTGTCTGAAATGAAAATTCCAGGACCCCACAGTGAATCAGAAACTGGGGTGCAGCCCTGCTTGTTTTAACAAGCCCTCCAGGGGATTCTGTTGCCTGCTGAAGTTTGAGAACCTGCTCAAGAGATGTCATGATGCCCTGATGGTAATGGTAATGTGCTGCCAGACTCAGATGCATAAAGCCCCCAGGGGTCTTCTGCCTTCGTTGTACTTGGGATCAGCTGGCTGGTTAAAATTGACCAACCTCGAATAATTTTTTTTTTTTTTAGGCAGCTACAAATCCTGGAATTACTGTTTTCTGTACTGTTTGGTGTTTGTGAATTTTAAAGCCAACAAAGACACCCCCCCACACACACACTTGAAGGCAGGGGTTTCCTCATGCACCCCCGCAGCTCTCCCCAGTGATGCGCTGGCAGTGGCACCCAGGGGCTGCGGCTCGATCCATAGCCCAGTGCCGCCGCCGCCAGGGCACCCAGGTAATTAGACAGGCCTGATCAGAGCCTTGCTTTCTGGGATGGAAACTGTTGCCTTAGGTAATTGGGATGCATGGGAGGACAGCCTGTCCTAAAGCTGTGCAGGTAGTTCCAGGCTGCAAAAGGCAGCCAAGCCTGGCCGACGATCAGAGGAAAGAAGCATCTGGTTCTGCAGTTCCCAGGCTCCAACAGGTGCCCCCAAACCACTGGTCTTAACATCTCTGTATGCAGACCCTAGAGGCCGGGAGGTGATTCAGGCTCCAGATTCCCCAAGCAAGGAAAGTCTGCCTCTAGAAAAGCATATGCTCCTCTTACTTTTTTTTTTTTTAGCAAAATAACAACTTGACACCAGTCCAAGCAATTAAAAAAAACACTAAAAGGAACCCAATTTAGAAAGGTTTTTAGTAGGCTAAAAACAGATGTGGCAAGCCATTTCAGGATATTCCGGGAGATGAGCTGGAGAGGGCGGGCTTCGAAATGGCTCATCTGCCCCTTCTGGGCCCGCCCAGCCAGGTGCCTCTACACGGGAGAAGGCTCTACCCATAAACAGGTTCTGGAAGGAAGCAGCCCCAAGGCTACCTTTCTGCTAATCACTGCTCTGCTCCTGTGATGCTCTGGGCTGGCGCGGAGTTAGCCCCACTCAGAGCACTCCAAGCGGCCAGCGCCCCCCCCCCGCCACCCCGTTCTTGTGCTTCTGTTGGAGGGCGGTGGCGCTTGTCCTGCAGGGGCTCGGCTGTAGTTAGAGGCCCTCGTCGGCCGCCAGGACCCCGCCACTGCTTCCTGCCGCCGACGCCTGGGGGCCCCCGGCTACATCTGACGACAGGGGCGCGGGGCGCACAGGGGACTTGGGGGGGGCCAGCAGAGCCAGCCACGGAGGGCCCGTCAGGGTCACAGTAGCCTGTGGAACCCTAGCTCTCCCAAGGGAATTGGAAGAACCATCCCAGAGAGAAACGCTAACCGTTCAGTACACTGCAGGGACTTCTGGTGTCCCTGACTCCAAGGCATTAAAGCCCCTCACACCCATATGTTTTGAAAACCTGGGATGGGGAGGGTAAGGAGTCTAAAATGGAAAGTGACCGTGGGATATGTCCTACATTGATTGCATTCTAATAAGGTATCTTTATTAGGTACGATGCACCCAGAATTGAACAGGATGCAGGTGCGGGTGTGTGTTTTGTTCTCTTGTAATTTTCCAAGAAATACATAGGTTTTGGAATTGTATATTCTTTCCATTGAAAACTGTTTAATTTTAGAAATGCACATACATACTCCCTTTGTACCTATCCACTAGCTTCTGCTTGCATAACTGGAATCACTATAAGGTAAAGGCAAGTTCCCAATATAGAAGGGACTCCTGTATGTACCATGAAAGCATCTTTGTTAATTAGCATTGTGAAAGTAATTAGGCATTCTATAAGTGAAATTAGGGTTGCTATCAAGTTAGACATCATCACAAATATGCATGATCTGCCTAGATTCACATTACATCTAGGAAAGGAACCAGAGAAATTATCCTTCTTATTATGGAGTATTTTAAATGCAGCAAAGTTATCCATAATGTAAACCTTTGAAATATTATATATAAGCCATAATACTTATAAATATTTATACTTTCTAAAGTCACAGATAACGTTCCCATGAGGAAAAAAAAAAAAAAGACTCCCAAAGAAAACTAAAAATTTAATGAGGACAGGGACTATCTTTGTCTTAGGCTCCACTGTATCCCCAGCCGCTAACATGTCTGGCTTACATCTTGCCAAGTAAAGCTAGGAAGTCTTACATAGAACTGCACTGAATCGGCTGCCAAAAAGTTTCCTGAGAAAGCAGCTAAGATAATGATCAGCCATGTACCACACTGGAAACATTAGTGTACCAAGGTGTTTGGCATTCTGGAAAAGGTCATCTCAGCCTGTACTTCTTTTTGCAAATGCTCGCAATCTGGGATTGTCCTTCCTATGCCGCTTCCTATGATTTTCTCCATGAGGTCAATCCTATATGAATCTATTGCATGTTTAGTGCGTACAGGACACACTGGCGGATGTTGCAAGGTTTGCAGAAATAAGTAATACAGCACCCTTCGTGTGCGGACAGGTAAGAAACAGGATCAGGCAGTGTAAGAAGGGGTCCTACTCACAGAACAGGCATGCGTTATCAGAGGATCAAGAAGAGAGAGAGAGAGCGCGCTCTCATCTATGGAGCAAAGACTTTGAAGGGGCGTGGCATTTGAGATGTACTTTGAAGAATGGATAAAATCTTCAGCTGGGAAGGTATGAGTGGGAGAACAGTCCAAGCAGAAGGAATGGCATGAGTAGGAGTTTGGATCTGGGCGAACCACTTGTCTTTGAATATAAAATATATGGGGATTAGAAGGACAGTAGTAAAAGATAGAGCAAAAAATGGTAGTTGTGGCCAAATAAATACATGCTGAGCCAAATTGAATTTCTATTTAATTTTCACAGGTAATAGTTGGAAATAGAAGCTTCTTAAGCAGGGCAAGTGAATGCTACTGGGATTACACTTTGGAAGGGTTCTTCTGGGTTGGTATGGGGACAGTGCCCACACAGGAAGTACCAGAGCCTGAACTAAGATTGTGACAGAGGGAATAAAAAGTTGGAAAACATATTTGAGACATCATTCAAAAATAATCTTAGACTTGGCAATTTGTTTCGGAGAGAAGGAATCGGCAGATTGTGTGCCTGGATACCTGCAGAAATCATGGTGTCATTGACATAGGGAGTCAGCCAAGGGCAGTTGATGGGGGACCAAGGATTCTCTTTTAGAGGTATTGTCTTTGTGGTGCTGGAAGGATCTCCACAGGAAATGCCCACAGAATGAGGCAGAAATTGAATTCAGCACTTGGAGAAACAGGGCCAGAGGTACAGAAGTCATCCACAGAGGAGCGGCAACGGGAGTGGATAGAGCTGTCAGAAATTCAGCACAGAAGAGCGGAGACTAAGGAGAGAGCCCTGGGGGCGGCCATGTTGGCCCGGCCAGGCCTCCTCCTGTTCTTCCCTCCCTTTAGGCTTTCACTGAAGTCTGGAAGAGCTACAGGACAAAAAAAGCAGTTTGCCAGAAGGGGCTAAGTCTAAACAAATTTCTTTCACCTCAAAAATCCTTAGATAAGAGGCTTCTGGTAATATGGAAAGACTGCTCATATTTTACCAAGTTTTGTATATAGAATTTACTTAGATTAAAATGAATGTGTCATTTTCACTTGGGAAAACCACATAGTGACTTCCTTCTTCAGAAAAGAATCTCTAAGCTTGACTGTCGGCTTGGATTTCCTGCTCATGCCTCCTCAAAATGTTTAGGCAACTTCTGACCTAGAAGGAATTTTAAATTCAGAGGAGCTAAATGTTGTAAACTACCTTTTATCGTTTATTTTTCCAGGCCCTTCCCTGAATAGAGATAAACAGGAAATGAATGGTCATAGATAACTGGGATATTTGCAGTAGAAAGACAACTTGTTAACTTCAGATGATTTTCCTAGGCTCTACTACTCTTAGAACTCAAATTTTGTTCTCTTCTGGGGTGAGAAAAGAAACACAAGTGATCTAAAAATTAACCTCGTTCTTAAGTGTACAGCTTAACTTCTGTTTTTGTGTGCAATTTTTATCCTCTAAATCACACTGTCACCCATCATTTGGGGAGCTCCAAAAGAGAAAACAAAACAAAACCAAAAAACACCCTAACTCCTTCATTCCCTTTGTGTTTTCTGCAGGTCAAATGCTGCAAGTACTGGCCAGATGACACAGAGATATATAAAGACATTAAGGTCACCCTAATAGAAACAGAACTACTGGCAGAATATGTGATAAGAACATTCGCTGTCGAAAAGGTAAGTTTCACCCTCCTTTGAAAAGCTATGGTCAGGTGTTAGTAGGACTAGCCTCATTAACTTCCCTGGGATAGTTTCTGTGTGGTCACACCTGAATGCAGGTGGGCTCTGTCTAATGATGCCTCAACATTGCATCTTGCCTCCGATTCTCTAATAACTCAGTTCCATCTTTGAAGCGAGTCATTCCCATTTCATAGGAATCTGTATGTGGCTACAAAATCAAAAGATAAGGCCAGTCTGTCTCTTTCCCTTTTCTGTTTAACCTGGTTAACATTGTTCAGCCCATCTCTCTTTCTTTGTTCACAGTTTGATAAATGTCCTTCATACCGTATGTCCACATGGGTTTCCCAGTGGTGAGTTAGTATCAGTGCTGAGACCCAGGTCCTAACCCCTCCTGGAATCCCCCTTCTCCCTTGAGGCTTTCCAGGCCTATGGTTTCCTGTGGCCTGATGGGTTTTGCAGGGGGAAGCGACCTACCTGGACACATAAGTAGACACGGGACACTCTTGCATGAACCGGTCCTTTCATTCATCTTCACTCTCATACTGGTTTTAGCCTTTGTACTTGCTGGTGTTGGGTCGTGAATGCTGTGCTATATGGCTCTATGCTGTCTCATCCCACGTGCATGGATAGGGCCTCTTCTCTGGGAAGCTCTGTAGGGCATAACAGGGAATTTCCTTATTCCCCCTCTTTCTGCTGACATAGGGAGGGGCCGGAAGTGAAGCATACTGCAGTCCATCCAGAGAAGTGGCACAGGTAGGCTGTGGGGAGAAACACTCTGCCTGCCAATCCTCATCTTTGACGAAGGGGACACACAGTTTTTATCTCGGAGGTCCACAGACTTTTCCATCAAGAGCTGATTCCCCATAGCTGCGCCCTGCACCGGATGTAACAGTTCTGTCGCAGACTGGTGTGGTGAAAGCTTGCCCTCGTTCAGTAACAGCAAGTCACCTTGGAGGACCTGAGTTATAAGCACACTGCCAGGCGGTTGGCTCTTGGCCTTCCTCTCTAATTTTCCTCACATCTAAATGCACTTTTTGGATTAACAAGACCAGTTTTGGGAAAATCAAGGAGATGGTGGCTTCTGCTCTTTGGCTAATTGATGCTATGTTTCGAACGACCTATCCCGGTTTCCAAATCCATACCTGTCATAGAATCACAAGGCTGAAAAGACTTCAGTTTATTTTAATCTGTTTCTCATACTGTTTAGCATTTTTTTTTCCTCAGCCTGTCTTTTTTAATAAGTAGGCAAGAGGCTTGGAGACTTCAAAGAATGTGGAGTTCTGGTTGACTCAGTTCTTCAAGTTCTGAACCTCACACTTTGATGTCTTTTTTTTTTTTTTTTCCCTTCTTAGGCAGGATTGGAAAAAAATGTGGAGAATTTTTGTATGGCTCTTGGCAAGAGCACTCATGAATAACTGCATTAAAACAGATAGTGATAAAAGACCCTCAATATTTTTTTCTTCAAAAAAAGAAAATCATCCAAAGCCATCACTTAAACGTGGAGTTCTTTGAACAATAGTCAGCTCTCTAATAAGCTGAAAATGTATCTCTGTTGCTAAAGGAAGGGTTGGTTTGTTTCTTTGCTCTTTTTTTAACCTCTTATTGTACTCTCCTATATTCCCAGCTGCACAGAAATGTTTCTGAAATACTCAAGTTATTTTAGTCCTCAGACAACCAGCAAAGAGTCGGTGGAAGGAAGGGAAGGATGAGGAGCTTATTAAGGATTTGGGAGAAATCAAAATGACATGTTAGTGATTTTCTAACTGGGCAATTGAAATCTTTAAGGAAAACAAATCATTAGTACTTCTGTGGATCACTTCTTGTAGGTTTTAAACTTTCTTATTAGAAGAGAAAAGAAAAAAAAAAAAAACAGTCAAGTATATACTTTGAGAGGACTGCAATTCTGATTCTATTTTGAGAGTATGTTGCATCAAGGGACCCAAGGTGAAAAATAGATTTGGGCTCTACTCTGCAAAACAAGCAGACACATTGCAATTTGAAACTGATGAGTTCTTGTTTTGCATGGGATTGTCATCTTTCCTTTCTCCTGCAAACGATTTTAAATAACAAAGTTGCCATCACGCGTGTTGGGGCAGGGGTGGGGGGGTGGGGGAGTGGGGGGTGGAGCTCAAAAGGTCTCCATGGACCTAGGCTTCCGGGTGAATTGATCCCTGACTATCGTAGCAGAAAGGAAGTTGACAATGGCCACCAAAATCTCTCTCCACAGGAGGTGCCTCAGAGAAGGCAGTGGGAATATGGTCCCATATTCCAATAAGGGCAGAACATGTAGTTGGTGATTGATTCATTCCACGAATATTTATCAAGCACCCACTTTGAGCTGGGCACTATTATCTTGGCTTCTTCCTTCCTATTGTATTTACGTGGAAAATGAAGTAAATACCTCCTTTTTATGTAGCATTAATACTTGTTACAATGAAAAGGAAACAAAAAATATAGTTGATATCCAGTTGGGATATTTGGGCTGCAATCAGTGATCACACGATGATTTTCCCCCAAAATACATTACAGAACAGCAAAAGGAGAAATTGCCACATTGACGAACAAGAATGAGAGTTGGCTCAGAAGCAATTGCCTTTGCTAATCTTGTCAACAGCGAACATATTTAGATGGTACAGGCTTATTTTAGGAAAACGTTTTCTGCATGCCACAAACTGACATTTACCTTGCTAGCAAAGCTAGGAAGTGAAGATCTCAAAAAATTAAAATTAAAAAAAAAAAGGCAACAACAATGTATGGGAGAAACAAATACCCTTTGGTCCTCTTGGGAATAAATAAATATTTATTATAGGCTTTCCCACTTCATGGAGCCACCCCTGCCCCAGTCATCATATGTAAAGCTCAGGGGGCCTCTCTAGTGGGCTGTAGGGTGATACAGGCTCAACCATTTGTCTTCTGGTGGAGACTTTGGGCCTGGCCAAAATGTTAACATGGTTTAAGTGATAAGAGATGTGGGCTCCTAACCACCGAGTAGAATTAGTCTGGAGTCACAGAACATATTTAGTAGACTAGACGACAGTGTGGTTTGTCATATCTGAATCCCTGATGGTTTAATTCCTTAATGCTTAAACTCCATTAAAGAACAGCATGAATTTCAAAGAGAAATAAAGCTTCAGCATTTGTGGGTTATTAAACTAAAACATATTAACACCTTGACAGCATACAAGTCTTACCTTAAAATCTGTAATTGTGTGCATTTTCTAGTCTTTCTAGGCACATTAAAATTCTGAGTTTCTTTAAAAAATTCTGAATTTCTTCTTTGCTTACTAAGTTTGTATGAACAATGACCAATGGTGAATGTGACAAGGTTAGTGGGTATTTAACATTAAGATAAAATAAAACCAAACTCAGGGCCCAACACAGAGGTGGTATTCAGTAAGTGGTCACCAAATAAGACATAGGAGAAAGTCAAATTTGATCCCAGGTTTACAAACCAGCCTTGATTCTGGAAGTAATGTTTTCTTCAAAACAGATTGCTGTTTTACAACACAGCCTTAACACATAGGTTCATAGTTAGAAAAAAAATTGATGGCTATAAATCAACTATTTTCAAAACGAGTAAATTTAAAAAAAAAAATTCTTCAAGTCTTTTTCCTTCTGTCTTCCATTCAGTTTAGGAGGGAGGCATGTTACTGATCTAACATAGAATTCCAGGAAAAATGCCTCTTGATTTCCATGGTATACATTTATACATGATACATTTGCGGCCCTGGCTATTTGCCAGAAGCCGACCATTATGGCCACTTGAAGACAGGAAACACTGTCTTCATACCTCTGTGACCCTAGCATCTGGAGTCATGCCTAAAGCATTGCATTCACTCTGATGGTTGGTGATTGGGTGAATGGAGTAAATGTTTACCCAAATTAGAGAAGCCTAACAAACTCGAGGTGCAAATGAAAATTCCTTCTCTGGCCTATCTAGTTGGAAAGTGATCCTCATTCATTCTTCCAGGGGCGTTCTCTGCACCCATAGCATGCGCTCTGCTCGAGTACCTGGTACAAAAAGGTACCAGGATACAAAAGAGCTAAACAAGGCTCCTGCATTTCAGTAGCTGGTCTCAGGCCCACAAACACCTTTGAATTACTTCAGGTTCCTGTTCTGTGCCTCTCTCTCTGTGGACTTGCACTTCACAGCACAGGCTCTAAGTGACACACAAACTGTTAATAGAGCCTGCTTTGTGGAAAGGAATTTCAAGGAATCAGAGATGCATTTGCTGCAATTGCACCTGCAAATTAGCATTTTCCCCAAACATCACCTCCCTTGCACCCCCACCAACATCTTCCTACCTGGAATAAGGCTTCCCAAGTGTGTGTTAAATCTAAGAATGACCTTCTTCCCAGCAATGCATAGCTTCCTAGCCCTAGGCTTACTGACTGCTTAGGGGTACTTGACGTTCTCCTGGTTGCTTATCATTTATTTATTTTCCTTTGTTCTCTTCCTTGCCCTGCTGACCAACCAATGGCAGAGAGGTGTTCACGAAATCCGCGAGATCAGACAGTTTCACTTCACTGGCTGGCCGGATCACGGGGTACCCTATCATGCCACAGGGCTGCTGGGGTTCGTCCGGCAGGTCAAATCCAAGAGCCCGCCCAACGCAGGCCCGTTGGTGGTGCACTGCAGGTAAGCAGAGCGCCTGGAGCCTCTCAAACGAGGCCTCTCAGTGGGCAAGGGGTCCAGGGGAGCTCCTTTGGGGTGATGACAGTGTTTTGGAACTCGACAGAGATGATGGTTGCACAACATTGTGAAGGTGCTAAATGCCACTGAGCTGTACACTACAAAATGGTTCCTTTTATGCGGTATGACTCTCATCACAGCAAAGATGTAAAAGAAGGAGAAGCACAGGGGTCCTTTTTCCGCAGCTGACAGGGCCCTCTTTCCACCCAGTGCTGGCGCAGGGAGGACCGGCTGTTTCATCGTGATCGATATCATGTTGGACATGGCAGAAAGGGAAGGCGTGGTTGACATCTATAACTGCGTGCGGGAGCTGCGGTCACGGAGGGTGAACATGGTGCAGACAGAGGTACTGCTGCTCTCCGCCCATCCTCGGGCTTGGTCCCCCATACCCCCGCGCCCCATATCCCACAGCCAAGTGGGGAAGAAACACTGACAATTCTGTCTTCAAAACTCCCCAGAAGAAAAAGTGATAAACCTGGCATCTCTCTTTCCTTCTTCCTCCCACCTTCCCTCCCTTCCTTCTTTTTCTTCTCCTTTCATAAACAGAAAAGACCAGGAGTCTCCCAGGTGATGGAATCTGTAGCCAGGAGCCTAAATTTGCCCATGCTTCTGTATCAAGGGCCCCAGTAGAGTCTCTATATTAAGCTTCCAGGGATTCAGTACTATTTTTTTATGTCTTTTAAACTAGCTAGTAACCAGAACAAGACGACTCCTGAGAATAGCCAGACGTTTGCCAAGTGGCTTAAGGCTAATCTCTGTACACTTTATTCCAAATTCTGCCCACTGGCTTGGCATCATGGGAATTTGCGCATTTTATATAAATACTCCGTACTGACTAGTACTTCTATAAATTAGAATTCAAAGTGTGTCAGGAATTTAAGTGTTTGAGGAAAAAAAAATTACATCCTGCCCCGAAGAACTTCATATTTTTACTTAATGTTTGCTTGTTTTAAGTAGGCATTATACCCACCACCTAGGAAAAAATGATTCATAAAGCAGCATGAAGGGGCACCTGGGTGGCTCAGTTGGTTAAGCATCTGCCTTCGGCTCAGGTCATAATCTCAGGGTCCTGGGATCAAGCCCCCCTTGGGTCAGGTTCCCTGCTCGGTGGGGAATTTGCTTCCTCTTCCTCTGCCCCTCCCCCCCTCTCATGCTCAGGCACACGTGCTCTCTCTCTCTGAAATAAATAAATAAAATCTTTAAAAAAAAAGCAGAATGAAGAATAAATAAGAATCCCTTCCATTTAGATTTTGCATTCAAGTTTACAAAAGCCACTAGTTTCAAGTTTACAAAAACCTAATTCCATTTTCAGATAACCTAAATAAAAATAGCAGAAATTCTAAATGCTTTCATCTTCTTTTTTCTCTAGAGTAGGGATTCTTTGCTTTAAAGATGATAATGATAGTAATGTATTTTTTTAATGTATTTTACAGCCAGTCAAATGTTGCCACATCCCCTTTCCCACTTGCTCTGTGTCTGAGGTGTTACTAGAACTGGGCTGTTTTTGAGAATTAAGAGCCCTCATAATTTGTAGAAATTAAAGTAAAAAGTAATGAGACTCTTTTTGCATCTCATGTAATTAAAGATCAATAATAAATATGGTAAAACTTTACTGATTGATTGTAGTGAAAATCTGTGCCATTTTAGAATGAGAGGGCCCTTTTGTAAGCTGTGGACTAGTGCTTACATATAAGAGCTCTTCTCTGGACACATAAGGACTTTTGGACCCTCTTTCCACATTAATGTTTCAAAAGAAGTAGTTCTAAGTGCTCAGAAATATTTATTTTCATAGGGATGTCAAGTTTCCCTGGACGTTCTCTGCACTGTTGACTTGGTTAGCAAATGCCTCTTTTCAGGACAGAGAGATGAGATTGTGCTCCTCTCCTCACCTGGAATATTGAGTCCCAAACTCGTGGGCTCAGAATTACAGGGGTAGTTAAGCCGCAGCTATGTAGATGACAGTGCTTGCTCTGGGATTTATCAGTGTCTGAGTCGTTTTCATCAATCTGTGTCAAGCTTCTCTGCGTTGAGCCCGTGTCTCTTCCTCCTGTCGTGCGCCACCTGGGGCCAGTCAGGAGACGTGCCAGCCATCCCACGGGGGCACCAGCACTACCAGTAGCGGGATCCCCACCTCCCAGCGGTCAGGTCCTTACACCTGGTTTCGCTGTGGCGGGAATGGATTGTCCATGACGGGCCACTGTCCCGTCATCTTGTCTGCAGGGAGCTGTCTTGCCTTCTCTAGTTCTCCCAGTGCACCTGGTTTCTCTATCACTAACTCGGCCCCTCTGCTTCTCCAGGAGCAGTATGTGTTTATCCATGATGCCATCCTGGAAGCCTGTCTTTGCGGTGACACCTCGGTCCCTGCTTCCCAAGTTAGGTCTCTGTATTATGACATGAACAAACTGGATCCACAGACTAACTCCAGCCAGATTAAAGAGGAGTTCCGGGTAAGTCATGAGAGAGGGAGAGGGAGCTGGCTGTGGCTTTGCTTCTTCAGAAGTCTCTCGAAGTCAGCTCTGGAACCCCTGAGCCAACACAGAGCTTGTCAACCTCAGCATTACTGACATTTTGAGCTGGATAACTCTTGGCTGTGGGTGCTATCCTGTAGGATGTTTAGCAGCACCCCCTGGCTTCTACTTCCTGGATGCCAGGAGACCTCCACCACACTAGCAGTGACAGTCAAAACTGTGTGCAAACATTGCCAGGGCCCCTGGGAGCAAAGGGACCTGGTTGAGAACAGCTGGTCTAGCAGAGCCCTTAAGGCCCCTTGCAGGCAGACACCAGGCAGTCCTACAGTGTAACATGGATGCAGCCAGACCAAGCAAGGCGCCCTCACCATACTTGCTGGGCGGTCGGTCTAAGTGTACCTGACTCTAAGTCAAACTGTAGCCAACCTCTTCCTCTCACGCACCCAGATGTCCGGCCCT